AAATTAAAAAATTAATTATATGGATATTAGTTATTATTTATATTCAATAAAAGAAATATATAATATAATTATATATTAAAATTTTCACTTATTTGCTTCAAGGTAAAAACAAACAACTATAGTATACATTTTCAATATATAAAATTAATAAACATGATTACTCGAATAAACTTATATTAAACGAAATGACTAGATTATATATTCAAGATTAAGACAATTCTATTATAGTATTATAAACAACACTATTATAGATAAACTTATATCATGTGATTGTATTGAACTTCACATGCAGTGCTGTTACTGTTCCAATATTGACATTTAAACAAATATTAAGAAATGGAAAAAAAGTCAAGATACAACAAGATTTCGAATAATGAAGTCGTTCGGAATCATTGAAAAATAAATTTACCGTCAACTTTATTTAATAACCATCATATAATGCTAAATAAAATGATCTTAATATAATTATTTAACAAGCACTAATATTGTAGAGCTAAACAGCGATGAACAAAATAATGTGAGCGACTCTTTATGCGCGCACTCCAATAATTTAACTACAAGCAGAGTCGTAGAGGACAACTTGATGAGTTAGAACAAGAGAGTTTAGTTGAATATCGATAGATAAAGGACTTCGCAAATTAATCCTTAAGTACGATGACCTCTTTAGGCTTTCTCAAACAGAACACTTTTTTCACCTTTCATATGCGGCAATAGAGATATACGTAGTAATCTAGCACAATGATCAGATAATCAGATAATATCGAAAACTATCTGTGTTATCTATGTTATCTTCTTCAATAATTCCAATAAAATTAAGTAAACATAGTTATATTATTCTTCTGTGGCCTCTTATATTTCATAACAATAATCATATATACTATTCAATAGTGACATTTTTCCATGTAATCATAATATAATTATATTAACATTTTTGTCATTTTTATTTATAGTAAATATTATAATTTATAATTTATAATAGAAATAAGTCTTATTTTACAATAGTAATGAATTTTTTTATATAAATTTTAATAACTTTTAGCTATACTCATCGTATTATAATATAATAATATAATTAAAAAATATTTAAATTACTGTCTTTATTTATTAATTTTGAAACTAAAATAATTGATACTAAGTAAAAGTTTCTTAGGAGTAACGCATCTTATGAATGTTTAAGTATAAATTAATGTTCATTTTATTATAGTACGCTAAATTACAATATTGTATTATTTATATCTCAAGCTTTAAAAATTTTATTAAACTGTTAATTCACAGATATTGTATATAAAATAAATAAATGTATGGTCGTTAAATTTAAATAAGACTTTTCAGATTTAATTTTTTTTTTAAACAAGGGAAATTAATAATAACTTCTTATAGTTAGTTCAATTAAAGTTTCTACTTTAATACAAGATAATAATTAAGCTTGTTATTTTTAAATATTTTTTTCGAAAATTAATTATTATATTTGAAGAATTATGTTCATATCGATAAATACGTGTATACATAAAATGAATTTTATTGTATTTTAATTTATCCACATACTTTATACATCTTTAAATCAACTTATCGTAACATCGTTCAATTTTATTTCATCAATATTGCTTTAGTACAATATTCGAAGTTGATATTATATTTTTTCAAAGTTTTTAATAAATATTATATAATAAATATTATATAAGCAAACGTTTAAAAGAATTTACTTTTATTATAAATTTAACTTTTTACCTTTGAATTATATTTATAATAAAATTGCTTCATCAGGTTATAATCGGATAGATTAAGCTAAATCTTAAGTACGTAAAAATACTTATATAAAAAATAGCAGAAACATAAATTACAAGAATCAAGAAGTACCTAATAAACGAAGGAAAAATGCAGCTTTTGTTCTACAAACCAAAAGCTAAGGCATATCGATGTAGAAGCTAGAGTAGAAAGAACAGCAAGAAGTAAAACAAAGTTTCGAGGGAAAATGTCCTGAAACCATCTATGAGAAGGTTATACGGTTTTCGAGAGAGGATGAACCATTGATCCTTCGGATACTTAAATTGAATGACCCCAGTGAAAGAGTGATATGGATATAAATCGAAACTAACGTGTGTAAAAAAAGGTGATATGAAATAAAAGAAAATAGGAAAGAAGCTAGTCGATGTAGATGAAATTTTGAATAGACATTAAGTAAAATTTGTCATATATTTATAATGCACTTACAACGTACAATTCTTTGTTCATACGACAATTCAATTTATTGAAAATTATATAAATTAAAGCAATGAATCTTTGACTAAATAAAATATTGTACGTTTTCTTTTAAATATATTTTCTGATTAATTTTATGAACAGTCAGATAACAAAAAACATTAGATTTCAAAATAATAAAAATTTCATATTAAAAATTTGCAAATTCCATATGATGGAAAAAATTTCCTACTTAATATAGGCATTGGTACGGTTAAATGAAAATATTGATGTTATTCTTAATAAAATGTATCTTTGTTTTTCCGCTGATTAATAATGTGGTGATAAAAGAAATTATTTCAAATATTATGTGATATTATTAATACAAGTTAATTTCATATTATAAATGTATATTCGTATAATAAATATAAAAAGCAAAAAATGAATATTTTGAAGAATATATTTAGAAAAACTAAAACAGCAATATTTAGATGTTGGATAAATTTAATATCAGATATTTATTTGATTATATGTTCTTTATTATTAATTAGTAAAAAGCAAGAATTGATTATATTAAACTAAAGATTATTTTAGTCATACTAATTTCCCTTCTTATACGCGAACAATTTGCAATTATCTTTTAAAATATTCTTTCATATTTTAATTAATCGATTCAATCAATATTTAAATGTATTTTATTATTACTATTATCTAGAATATATATTTATTCAAATCGAATTAATAAAAAATTGAAATAAGTATTTCACCTTTTATAATGCAGGATAATTATACTAATTATTCTAGAATAAAATTAGCAATTTCATTTCCTAAATGAAAGAACATTCTTAGATATTGTTTGTTTACTTATGCATATAGACACAGATTATTAAATCGGATTATAATAATTTGATATAATCAATAAATGTACAATACTTACAATTTTACTAAGAGGATGAAGAATATTACAAAAAATTTATAGTGTTCTTGAGCCGAAGCTCGAAAGTAACTCGGAGTAAAATGAAACAGACCGTCGCTCTATCGTCCATCACAATTTTCGAAATTCAAAAAAAGTTAAGATAAAAAATGTTAATTACGTATAGCCAATTAATTAAAAAAAAATCGAAAGCAAATAAGTGATAACTTAAAGGCGCCTCAACTGTCACATGTACGACGCGAAGAAACGAACGCAAAGGTAACCGCACATATTATCGATTTTGTGTTGTATTCGCAATAGCACAGTAATAATGAAATACATGAAGTAAATAGTTACGGTACTTCTACATCCTAGTGTCATCATCTACAGATTCTTAATAACTTTTATTTTACTTTTATTAACATAGTCTTTAACCAAGTTCTGCTATTCCATCGTTGCTTTGATCCTTTATCTCTCAGCCACTCTTAAATTTTTTATGTTCCGCGATCGTAAGGATGAACGAGTGTATACGGCTGGTACAAATCAACATTACTTCAAAAAAGTGTATAATACCGATACAAATCTCGATTTGTTTTAAAATTTGCGGTTTAAAATCGATTTACGAACTACTATAAAAATGATATAGAATATCTCATGAGATGTTACTCTCTTCCAGACACTTTTCCTACATTGTGAATTGTTAGGATGAAAAATATTTTTTGTTATTATCCATGGTATAAATAGACACTAATATTTATAACATATTTTGATAATAAAAATTAATGTGAATTTAATTATTACAATGAATTTTTGATTGTTAGGAGTTTCGATATTTACAAATGAAATTATTGTTGATGGTTTTCTATATTTCTCTTGTATAGATATATATCGATTAAATAATATTGTTATTTTTGTATACAAAATTTTTAAATAATAACCATAAAAATAAAAGATTTATAAATCTATAATATAAATACTGCTTTTTATAGATGCAAACTATTATTCATACGCATATTTTAGAAAATACACTTGTAATAAATTTTGATTTTAAAATTATTATCAAAGTAATTAAATTATTTGTTAATAAAATATCGGAGAATATAATTGTGGAATGACCTGGTATAAATATATTACAATTTTAATTTGAAATGACAATGATTAATTCTACTTTTTGAAAGAATTCAGCTTTATTATTATTTTATTAATCGAATTTGGAATCAATTTCAAGTATTACTGCAATATATGATCAATACTCAATATTCTTTTATGAAATAATAAATGAATCACTTTGTCATTTTTCTATACATAAATGATATCTAAAAAGTTTCGGTATCAAATAGCTTGTCAAAGAAAAATTTTCAATCGCCAGTAAAAATGAATTGAATAAAACTTGCATTAAAAAATTTATATATAGTACAAAACGAGCCAATAATGTCATGATTTCGTGGCAAAATGTTGGTTACTCTATTTTTTAAGCAATGAGAAATGCATTATTGTGCACACTTTTGAGGAAATTTAATCTAATAATTACTTTTACGCTAGATTCGACAATCTTGATTCTCTTTTCTCTATTCTCTATTTAACCGAATCCCTTATACGGTAAGGGTGGCTCTATATCTGACATCATAAAGTACCTGCGGAACCTCGTAAACCACATTTATATTGTACGCGCCTTTGATCGTCTGCAAACCATCGAAACATAAAATACGAAAATACCAGATAACAGAGACGAGATAACTTCGTGGATCGAGAAAACGATAAAGAGAATAAGAAAGAGATTGTCACCTACGCAAACACACGCGTGTCGGTGGGCACCCACGCGCGCGTGCACACGCACACACTCACACACATAGAATATACATATTAGAATATACATAATAGAATATACACACTCACACACATAGAAATAGAATGTCTACGCAAGTCCACATTGTGATTTCATCTTAAAATGCTAAATGCAAATTTTTCGTGCATGTGTACATCGTTCACTATTACGACAATATTTCATAGTAAATTCGGATACTGATTCGTTTACGGACTGTGAAAGTAAGACAGGAGGCGCTTTCATCATATAATCGATAATCCTGAAATCCTATTACGATGAATCGTATAGTCTTAAGGGCGTGACATCACCGTTTCTTGACATAATCGACGTGTCGCTGCAAGCCACTTATTATTAATTTATTATGTCCCCGTGACAACTTTGCCTTGAAAACAACATTAAATAAGAGCCAAAATAAGCTGGATCAATCATCTTAGGAAGTCCAGTAGTCGGTACTAAAGGTCCAGTCCTTGATATTTGCTGTCTTCGTCGAGCCTGAAAACATAAAAGTATCGATAGTCAAATAAGAGTATAAATTGTAACTGTACTCGACTCGCAAGATGTGCGGATACACGCATTGACGTATGCATGCATTCAATGGATGAGAGCGAATGATTGGTGGCTGAAGCGAACGCAACATCTTAATGTTGCAAGTCCGACCATTTTTTTGTAAGACTTTAAGGATTTACCTGTTTATGGCATATACATATGAAATTCTTTATTTGATACTTTTATTATATTTTTATTGTGGCAATGTATACGTAGACATTTAGAAGAGTGAAAAATGCACCGACTATCGACCAGCGATTCTTTCGGTCATGGTTTTGTTTTTCTCAACATTTGTTCAAAATTTAACTATCCATGTGATTTATTTTTTCATGACGAAATTTATCGCCAGATTTTAAGTCGCGAATACGACTTACTTTAGTATGGATTGGTTTTGCCTAAAAAAAGGTTTAAAAAATTCTTTTAGTATAAGCTATTCGCTTTCGATGAAATATTACAATTCGCGCTTCGATCTATATTTTCTTTCAATCTCTTTCCTGAGAAATGTATAGTTTAAATATAAAAAAGTATCTATTTATAACTTATTATTGACATCAATTTTTCTTCTTCGTAGTCCGTGATTCTAATCGATGTTTATTTCAATTTTTCAATAAATATGAAATTTTAATATGTGAAAAACGATAATTTTTAAACAATAATATTATGATATATCTATTTCATTATATTTAAGATATAATAACAAAAATTTTATAACTATGAGATAAAAAAATATTATTTTTGAAAAATTTTGTTTTCAGTCTTCTTTCTTTTATATTTTTATAATATAATACATATAAAAAGTAAAAATGAGTGAAGTATTTTACTAAAATCGATCGTTAATCATAAATTTTTTTACAATCTATGTTTTTGCAAAATAGTAACATAAATCCATCGGTAGATTATTTATTTTCATAAATTATCTATTTAGCGTTTATTTAAATTTCTGTATATTTATAAGATATATACTTTTTGAAAAGTATATATTGTACCTTAACCAAAGATTTTTAATGAATTAAAGTGTACTTGTTGACGAATAGCTAAATTAAAAATTTTTAATTAAATTTACAAGGTATTATTTTAATTATAAAGGGATTTCATTGCTATAGATTATTGCTATAGATTATTTATGAAGGTTATATACAAATAAATAGATAGAAATTCGATGCTTTAATGTCGTAATCGAATAAAGTACTTAGAGGATCTTTATATAGTTCTAGAATTCGCATCCAATTACAACTTCTCTAAATAATAATAAGTTATCCCGAGATATCCACACATTTAAAGTTGTAAAATAAGGAATAGAAAACGAGAAATGAAGAAGAAAAAAGAAAGGATTGATACCTTTTTTCAACAACTAACCTTTGTTTGGGTCCCAGTCCGAATAAACGTCGATATTGCCTTCCTGCATCTAGTTCGATGCCTGCGTGCTTACGAGACTTTCGTATATTCATTTTCGTCCCACTAGCAATTCTATTGCTTCTCTTATATGGCTGATTCCTCGAAGACTCCACCGATGTATTAAATGCCTTATCTATCAATTCCCACGTACCAGTGTCGTCTTGCTCCTCAGTCTGATCTTCGTACTTTCGCGACGGCTCAGTCTCGACTTTTCTCAATTTCGTAGCTATTGGAGTGCTATTACTTGAGTTGCGCTGTTGTATCTTTAAAATATTTGGCAATAAATGAGAAACAGCATTTTTGTCTGAAAGATGTTCACATAATCTAAATTAGAGTATTAATAGAAATAATTATTAAATAATGTTTAAATTAAATAATTTCTAAGTGCTTGATATACTATTAATATAATTAGTCATAATATTATTTACAGCAAATGAAAAAATATAATATTTAAAAAAGAGGGATATTGAAAAAGCAAATATGAAAATATAAAATATATTGATACTAGCAATTTGTTAAATAATTTATAATACTAGTAATAGTAACAAGTAACTTGTTCATTATTTAAAAATAATTTTCTTTAGTATCGTATTAAGAACGCAATTTTCTGTAGTTTTAATGAAAAACAGAAAATATAACTATTACTGAGATAATTATTGTCATATTTAATCTTTAAATTAAATTTAATCTTTAAATCATTTTTAACTGTCAATATTATTCATTCAACAGTTTATCAACAATAATTACCATTACAATAGCTGTATTAAAATATAAAGATATATATGAAAAACAGAAGCAGCAGAAAATCAGTACTAATAGTAACAATTTTTTTATAACGACAAAACATTATATATTTCACATTATGAACATTAAGAATTCTTTAAAAAAAAAAATATATATATATATATTTCATTATAAAAATAATCTAAAATTTAAACTAATTAATAAATCTTTCTTTTCGGTATATATTTTTCACTTTATAGCAATGTATTTTTTACAACTGTTTTAATAAATAATAAATAATCGAAAATTACATGTTTGTATAAAAATTTATTTTACACATGTATTTGAGTTTCATATGTATTATTAAAAATATACATACATGTTTGACTTTTCTTTAAATATAGTTTAAATCATATTTTTAACATTGTCACAAACATATGCTTAAAAAGGTAAAAATATATCAAACTAAATTACTGTAGATACAGGATAATTATTCAGGATATTATTAATTCTTTTCTCTGATATTGTTATTCATCGAATGTAAAATAGCGGAAATTTTTTAAACGAATGAATATAGATAAAAAATATTATTTAGATAATAAGTCCTATTCAAATATCGATGCCTCCAAGTTACCTTCATCTACTGATATCCGCTCGATCGATACAGCAGTCGTCGTTGAGCTCCAATTATCCTCGGGAAGTCGTTTCATTATCGTTTCTCGAAATAAATCATCGGGTAGATTGGTAGTCCGATTTTGTGAGACTTCCTCAAATTCTGACGTAGAAGTATGAATTTTCCCATCGGCTTTGTCTTGATCCGCCGTATTATCAAACCAACTTGGAGGAATATTTTGATATTTTGCAGACTGATTTTCTATTTTATTTGCTGACAAACTCATCGAATCGAGCATTGGCGTAATTTCATTTGGATAGACTACCGTGGTTGTTACAATATTATCTGAAAATAAATTCTTAGAAATCATCTGTACCAGCATCGTTGGATTAGTCTCCTTTCTTTTCGTTGAATTTGATTCGTCAATGTTACCAGCATTAAAAAGCAAATTTCCGCTCGGCATCGATGAAATTAATTTAGACCGATTCAAACTGTTGTTCATTTGAGTTAGCGCTTCACCTTCCGTTAACATAGAATTATGGAAATTCTCTATACTTGGACTAGATGCTGATTTACTTGAATTGGTTGTTACGAATAATTCGTCAGCGATCGATTCTATAAAAGTAAAATTTTCAGTGTAAACCTTATCTAAATTATCTAAATTCGACAAATTTAAAGGATATATTTCTATTGATGTTTCTGTATTCTGCACTAAGACTTTGTTCGAGTCAGTCATGATAGGAACATCATGCATAATTTCATTTCTGTCACTACTATCTTTAAAAAATATATTGGGCATTGTATTCGTAAATATTTTCATAAAATTATGTGTTTCGTTAGTTGTTTCGTAAATGTTTTCTTCGTTTCCATCATAAATGTCTGTGTTTCTTTCCATGGTAATATTTGACTCTTCCTCTAAATCAAAGAAATCCTCAATGCTTTTAGTTAAGAGCTCCTCACTATTCAAACTCTCGGAACTCATGAAACGTCTTGCTTCAACATTGTCTGCAACTAAATCTGTGCTATTTACAAAATTGGAATCGTCGTTACGATTAATATCGTCTTCGTCAGCAAAAAAATCCTCGATGCTCTGTGTAAGTAACTCTTCTCTACTATCTTTCTTTTTCAAGTCGGAATCAAATCTAACTAACAGATTTGTTATATTTATATTAAAATTATCGGTATGATTTACGGTATTATTTTTCTGGCGATGGAAATCGGTATTGCCGTCACTCATCAAAACACTAAAACTTATCGAACTAGTCTCATTTTTATTCCTGTTTTCATTCTTATTATCCTTTATCTGTAAATGCGAGATAGCAAACTTTTCTTTACTACGTTCGTGCATTGCCTCGTTTTCACTGCTGTATTCCGAGCTTTGTTCATTGCTATAAGTTGACGAAGCAAAACTACTGCCGGTAACAACAGAATTACTCCAATAGCTGTTATCCTCTTCTAATTCATTCAATTGCGAGCTCGACCAAATAAAAGAATTCCCAGAAGTTCGAGTAGTAACCTGAAATGATTCATCTTCATTTTCGCCAATGGATAAAGTTTTGTTTGACTTGTTTCTGCTCGTCTCGTTATCCTTCGTAGATTCGAAAAAAGTCTGATTGAAATTTGTCGTACTAATGGTAAAACTCAGGAAGTCGTAATAAGATGTTGCAGCTGGATCGTCCTTGTTGACAGGAAATTTTTCATCTTTTAGCTGGTTCTCATTATTGTATATTTCTCTGATAACATCAAGGCTCGAATTAATCAAATCACTGTTCTTCTCTATTGAATTGAATTTTATATTGGGCGCATGTTGATCGTCGAATTCAGTATATGAGTCCACCATTAGATTGTCAAGAGTTGTTACACTATCGATGCTCTGCCTGTAAAAAGATATTATTAGACACTTTTTTAGGTTTATTATTTATTTCTTCACAAATAGAATGCAATGGCAATAGAGACTCGATAAAAGGATAACAGAAATGTGCGTGCGCGTACATGTGTATAGGAGGGCAGAAGCCAGGGCGCGAGATGTCGAGGTATTTAATAATAAAATGTTAAAGGGCTTGATTCCTAAAAAATGCCTCTGGCTGAGACTAGACTTATTATACTTATATACAAAATATGAAGTATTTACAGCGTAATAACTTAAAATTAACTAAAATTGACGATTTCAAATAATTCACATGCTAATTTTTGCATTTCTTGCTGAAACCTACAAAGCAGTTATAAAATTAATATTAAAATATACTCAATTTAAATTAACATATATATAATTGTAAAGATTATAAAATTAATTACTAAAATATTATTGATAATATGAAAAATTAATAATCTGACAATTAAATATAACATTAAAATTCATGTACAATTTTAAAAAATTTAGTAAAATCTTTTATTAATAAATTATAACCGATGTTTCAATAATTAAATTTCTATAATTATAGCCATTAAGATTATCTAACTTAAGCTATTTATTCATCAAAGCTCAAAATTATAGTAATACATAAATAATAAGTGAAAAAAATATAAAAAGGATTTTAAAAACTTAACAAATCCAATAAATTATGAATATAAAATGAAAAAAGTATAATTACATCGAACGAAGGAAAGTGTTATTATAATATAATAGTCAATTAAGGAATCTTCGCATCTGCAGCTTTCAAACTCTATATTTTAACTACCTCGTTCCTTCTTTCTGCCCCCCTCCTGCCTCAAGCCAACGCAGCACAACCGTCCCGCGTAAATATTTGTCTGCTTAAACACGTGTGAATGCAGCAACCATATAATCCATAATCTCCCCCACAAAAATAATATGAGCGAAACTAGAGAAAAGATGACACCATGTAACTCTAGTTATACTCTTTAAATGTAGAAAGGAAAATTCGGAAAGAGGTATATAGTTACTGAAAAAATAAATAAGCAATAAACGAGTTCTCCGCAGATATACGTCTCTTTATTTTAATAGAGATCAATCGTTCTTACTCGTAATTTAATACTTTATAATTACATGGCAAAATTTTACGTAATTAAATATTTTCATTAATAAAGATAAATAAAATATATATTTTCTAAAAACGAAAAATGAAAAAATTATTTTCATTATACTACTGACTAAAAAACCAAACAGATAATCAAATATGGATTAACAATTAAGAGATAAAACATAAGTAACTTTATTATTGAATAACGTCAAATAGAATATGCGATTTTAGGAAAATGAATCTTATATATAATTTATTATATATTAAATGACTAAAGTTAGATTTTCAAATAGCCTGTATAAACATTCGGTACACTTTCAATATATAAATAACGGCTGCATATTTATACTCTGCAAGCAAATTATCTAGTGTTTTTATTCGTTACATAAATAGTGTATAAAAGTGATGACGGTAAAATTAAACAAATATTAAATTTTTATTTTCGTACTTTTTATAATAATATTAAATGATAACTTCACTTAATATAGTGGCATATATAACAGTGAATATATCTCTAAACTTATATTAATGACAATTGTATAACAGAGCTTTCCAAAAAATAACTAAAATAAGCTGTCGATCAACTCGAAAATAAATTTTGCTGATTTTACGAAGAATAATATTTGAGAGTGTACACTAATTCATTATGACGCGACAGTAAATTTACTATCATCAGCAAATATCCAATAAAACAAAATATAAAAAGTATTGAAGGATGACAATATGAAATTAAATCCACACCCAACATAAAAGAAAACCAAATAGGTGAGTCATCGACTCGAATAGCGAGTCCTCTACTAATTTCTCTTTCCTTTGATAAATCAGCTTTTGAATTATTAAAGAAGCGTCATACAAAATCCTCAGGGCAAGGACTCGTCTCAACTTTTCGTATATCAGTCTGTATTCCGTCAGCTACTAGTTAGAAATTTTAATAAACCCGTCTGTATTTAAAGGTTCCTCAAATCACTTCCTTCAGTCTCAGTTATTATAGTATATTAAAATATCTCTATCACGTAATGATTTCAATAGGCTTGGAAGTACATGTATATGGAGAAGCTATGATCTCTCCTCTTCTCCTCCATTATCATAACTAGCCCATCTGTTCTTTTCTATCTCTCATCCTCTCATAAATATACACACGTGCGTACACTTTCACTCTCTCTCTCTCTCTCTCTCTCTCGCTCTCTCTCTCTCTCTCTCTCTATCTCTATCTCTTTTCCTCGCGTTATCGGTAACCACTCGCTTTCCCCAAAATTAATTTTTGATAGAGTCGTATAGATAAATTTTTTACAAGTTCTGGTCCACGAACGTAGGTACACACTCGGAAATTTTCAACTATACAAAATTTTCAGCTACATTATGAAGACGCTGATGCGTGGTTGATCGATTTCATTATAGTATGAGGAATATTATAAATTCAAGAATACACTCAAACATTTTATTATGAAGCTCAAAGCCGAATCGAGAAAACATATTTTTCATAAAGAAAAGTAGCTATTTAGTTTGCAAATTTGCATTTGCAAAAATAGTACGTTTCTTTCTTTTCTTTTTTATAATAGAAATTTCATACGTAACATGGATATAGCTTTAATTTAAATAATCCCAGATAAAAATAAAACTTTTATCACTTATTCCGTACTAATTTCATTTTTTATCTATGCACCCTTATTTATTATCACAAAAAGTATGTATTAAATTTTAAACTAAAATATTATAATTCAGCTAACGCAAGTGAATCGATAATTAACGTATTTATATAAATTTTAATATATAAATTATTAAGCAATTAATTGAACATTAACTGTATTAAAGCTTCCTTAGCTATCTATTTATTTAAATACGGTCTTAATTATATATACTTAATATTCAACTTTAGCCAAATTAATTTCTACTTAAAAATTATTTAGTACTAAAAATATAAAAATACAAATTTCTTTACAAATAGGATAAGAAAAACATTTACATGGTTTATTAAGATTTTTTTATAGTACATATTATAATTTTAAACAGCTTGCAAACTATTACTTTAAAATCTACAATTTTTGACAAATCAACTGGTTTAAAACATATGAAATACTCCTTTCAAACGAAAAACCGTTAAAAAGTTTATTTAAAATAATTCACGCTTTAAAATGTTTACAATCACTTTATATACATTTTAGAACGAATAAAATATTCATTTTACAGAGGGATGTAACTAAAATTTATGGTATATTTTTATGAGCTATAAAATACCTTAAAAGATTTTCATTATTATTAAATTATTACTATATCACAGGAAAGTAAAATAACATTCTATCTGCTTATGTATTTTAAAAATATTTAATGGAAATAAAAATATTAATTTCATAATTCTAATTCGTAAAAAATGAATAAAAGCAATTCAAAATACTTGTATGAAAAATTAAAATTATATTAAACGAAAATATTAAATTGAATTCTTATTTTGTAAATAAAGACGTGAAAACTAACGTTACAATTTTTGTGTACAATTGTAATACAATTATTGTGTGAATACTATTATATTTAATATACTTCCCCTCTATAATATAATTTCTTTATACATATATAAGTAATTAATAATAGACATTTCTTTTGTTAATATCAGTTATTATTTTAAATTATAATCACATCAATATATTTCATCAATCTCAAAATTATATTTATTATATAATACTTTTAATCTCACTAATGTAATAGTAATAATCATTAATTTATTTCAGATAAATAATCTTTCATTATTTCTGTATATAATTTATTTTATAAATTAATTATTATATGGAAGCAGCTATTCAAATTTATTTAATAAATATTTTCTTTAAAAGTAATATATGATTAGTGTATATTTTTCTTGAAAAAAAGCCGAACAGAAAAAAAGCTTTAAAATAAAGATTTTTCAAAATTAAGTTTTGTGTTTAGCTTCATTTGATTTTTATGGATTGAGCAGTTTAATTAAAAAGTTTTAAAATATTTTTTTGTGAATTCCTATAAATAATTAGCATATTTAAATAAATAATGGAAAATTCTAATATTTAGATTTTATGTTGAGGTCGATGGTTATGATGAAATTATTTAGAAAAATATAACTAAAATTTTTAATAAAGAACTCGAATAAATTTTTTTAAATCTTTGAGGAATAGTAAGATTATATGTAAAGATTAAGTGCTAATTAACTAGTACTTAAAAATTAATGTATGATAAAATTTATTTAAGCTTTTAATTAAATTTCCCGATATTGAATTGAAACTCCAATAAGTCCAATTTAATAAAGTTTACAAATGGTCTTCAAGTATTTATTACGAGGGAAATATAAGACAATTTTGTAGATCTATAAAATTATATCTTCCGAACTTATCTTCAAAGCAGCATGATAATAATAATTTTTAAAAGTTATGGACATAATAAAATTTAAAATAAAATTTTTAAATTTATGGACATACCCATCATCGGTCCAATTATGATGCTCATCACTTTCAAAATGCGCCGCAAGCAAGAGCCGCGAAAGCTTAAGGAGATTATCGTGCAGTGGTGTTCCTTTTGGTTGACGATTTTGAAGTAACAACAACCTCGACCAATCCGATGGCAAGGCACCAAAAGGTAGGAGTTCCTTTTCTGTATTAAAATACGTAACGTTCAGTTCCGTCTCGTTCAAACTGCTCACATAATCTTGAAGTAGCTCTGCGTCCAATATGGCACAACTCTTTAGGCTGCAGCTGGTCTCCGAGCCTAGAATTTCAATTTTTCCGGACAATTATTGTAACTCGAATTAGTACTATGTAAAATTAGAACAAAAACCTTCGGACTCGGACTCACTTACAGAAAAGCAACTTAATATGACAGTAAAGTTGAACGTTACGAAGGGATAAATTTTCAAGACATAACAAATTTTTAAAAGGCATTATTTTATGGTTTGTAAGATAAATAATTATGAACAGTTTTTCAGACACCGCAAAATTTGATTACTATTCATCTTTAACTAGTCCATTAAAAATCTACATATTTAGTTTTTTATGCTGCATATTAAAACAATGTAAGATATAAAGTGTAGGAATAAAGTTTTATTCTAATTGATTTAAAAGTAAGTTAATATATAGAATTCTTTCGTATTAACATAAAATATGAAATATTGTCAAAATTAATACATTTTTACAAAATCGTATGTGTTCGACACAACGTATGGATTATTAAATCAAATTGTATAAATACAATTTCTATAATTAAAATTTAAAAAGTAATCTATTTTTCACGAAAATAAATTTTATAGATTGTAATAATATTTGTTAAAACCGAAAGCAGATGTTACATCTCACTGCGACTTTAGTGTATCACTCGAGTGACATCAAAAATTTTATTTTTCAATTGCCTGCTAATTATTCAGTATACACTATTGAGTTAAATAGAGTATTTTTGAAAATATTTAAAAATAATATCCTTTAAAGTTATACAAAATATTTATTAATTTTGACGTAAATCGAACAATTGTTATTAATAATCCGAAATATGTAGGTTGTGCAAAAAATTTACTTTTAATTATTTTTAAGGTATTTTATATAATAAATACTTGATTTCAAATAACAAAATCGAAAGTTTTACATTTTGATTTCACCTAATAATGACCAAATTTTAAAAATTATGAGTTATTTATATGTAAAAACAATTATTGTAAGGATTTAATATACATTTAATTATTTTCAAATATTTTAACATCAACTTAAGTTTCATATAAGCGATTTTTAAATAATAAAATAAAAACTGTTTAAAAAAAAATACATCTACAGTTATTGCTGAAAATACAAATTGCACTTGAATGATATTATTTTGCCTACTATCAAAATAACATTTTTATTCATGTTAGTATTACGTAATGAATGTTATATTCACAAATAGTTTTACCTTCAAAAATTGGAATAAAAAATTTCTTAATATAATTTAATATATTGAATTTAATTTATTTAATATATTTTATTTATAGTTTAATAAATTTATTTTAGAAACTCCAAAATTTATAATTTTCTAAACATATAATTTTTCAAATTAAAATTTTTCTATTTTTAATTTAACATGTTACTATATAAAGATATTTCATAAAATTTTTTAATTTATTAAAAAGAGAAACACGTATAAGTGACTTTATTATACAATTTTATTAAAACCTCTTTTTATTAGATTTAGAAAATGTATATTTATCTACTAACATATATATATATATATATATATATATACATAATGAGTACAAAATTATATTAGATGAACTACTTTAATATAATTATAATTTATGATAACATTTTAAAATAAATTATTGAGGTTATATATTAGCTATACATTAAAAATTGTCTATGAAATATTTTACCTTTATATCGGTTGTTATTAAATTTAAAGCAACTTCATGTTACGTTAAAAGTTTTTTTATTTGAGAAAAAATAATGCGAAGACTAAAAGTAAATGATGCATAAATAATAAAACAAAATTAATTTTTATAATGATTACCTTTAAAAAGCAATCTGTTTTTGCTTTAAAAAATATTGTTTCATTAAAAAAAGCTAAAAAAATTTAGTCTTCTATTTTTAATAAGCTTTTGCATCGAGGTACTATAGTAATAATAAAAATAACTGAATATTTTATTCGCATATTAGAATATAATTATAAATTTACTTTAAATTCAAATTTTTAATTCTTAGGCTATTTAATAAACATGCAGTATGAATTGGCCCCTTGTTTTCTTTCATTTTGCAATAATTATGAGGAAGTTTATTATACTTTCATACTTTCATTTGATACCATTATACTCTTATTGTATAAATTCATCAAATTAAAAATTCAATATTATTAAAATACAAATTTATTAACAATATGTTTTTGTACATTATACAACAATAATTTTCGACTAATGTAGCATACATTATTGCGTATCCATAATTTAAAAATTATTTTAATAATTAATGAACAAGTTAACGAAAACAATAAGGTAAAAATTTCTTTAAAAATGAACTAAACGAAAGTCTTTTTTATTGCTTTGTAATTGTTGTATGCTTGTATGTACTTGTATGTACAAATGTTTTATAATTTGTAATAATTAAAAATAATAATAGTTTAAATTCGTTATATATTTTTTATCAAAATATTCTAATGTAATTGAAAAGAGATTCATTCAGCCGTCTCACAAAATTGCGTACTCCCGTTAAAAGCACCCACACAAGATTTATTTCTTAGCTTTGCATGTCACCAACCCTCGTATTATATAAACAATGTTATCTTGCAAAATTAAATAAAAATTAAGTCAGAGATAAATAGATCGTTTATAGAAGCATTACGTAAACACCAAATAAAGTAAATAATAATAAGCCGTGACAATGAAATAAACGAGGGTGCGTCACGGGATCTGACAGCTTACCTGCTCCAACAATCGTAGCGTCTAATAGCAGTAACGGAGGCAACATCAGTAACAACAGCAATGACGTTAAGACAGGTGCTGAACTCCGTGACATGACTAACGCCGCTGACAGAAGATTAAATTCTGTTTGGTCTTACGCTAAACGTGTCCCTTCTCGTGGTCTCCCCGCTACTTAGCGTTTTCCCACGTACGGGTGCGTCCGTGTGCATACGCGAAGCTTGCAAAATTTCTTCCTTGTCGTCGGATTCACATCTGAAAAACATATTTTGTCAGTCGATGGAGGGATATACGCCCAGGTGCTATTACCAGTGACTCACATGCCATCACATCCACACAGGCTAACGCGCGCAACGTCTTAGCGGGAACTCTCGTAATTTTCATCTAGCTAGGGCGATTCGGTGGGATATTGTGTCGCACATCCTTTGAAATTCATGATAGAGTTGACGATTATGACACAGAAAATAAATTAAATATTTATTGAGGTTTCAGATAATAAATTTTATCGATCGTGTAGATGAGGCTTTAAAAATAGTTAATTGTATTGTCTAGTAATTGATGGTATCCTTTAATTACTAGAAGTAATACAAACGAATAATTTACAAGAGATATTAGCATAATTTATATAATAATTCTTAAAAATTATTATTTACGAAATAAGACTACACGTTAAAAATATTATACCATAACCTATTTCTATCGATTTAAATTCATCTTTATCATAAGTTAATTATAACAATTGGCGATATCTATCGAACCTATAAATAATGATAAATACATTTTTATGCTAGCTTTCGCTTATAAACATCATTATCACTATTGCTGATTATATAAAGAGATGTAGAAAAAATAAATAATTTCAACAGATTTTGTCTTTTTTCTCTCATTTGACCTGTTATTATTTTGTTTTATAGTCAATGCATTGTTAGTACATTCGAGATAGATGGACCAAAACTACATCCCATAATATCAAGAATGCCAAGTATCCTTCAAAGTATTGAATCTTTATGCCTCGCACATTGAAACTTTGCATCTCTTCTCATCTACTTTAATCATCTTCACATTTTCCACTACTTCCAGATCTCCTCACTGCCGTACTGTCACTCAATGCGCTTCTCCGTAACTCTATCTTTCTTTCAATTTATTTCTCGGCAGGCGTCGTCGCGTGTTCTGGAATCACGCACACTTGTGATTGCGAGAATGCTTTAAAAACCGACCCCGCAAAGTTCCAGTAAATTGCGTGAATCAGAGGTGACTAAGTTTTAAAACAAAAGGCCTTATTTCTTGTAAAAATTTATGACATTTTTACCGCATAATTATAATGTCCAAACTTAATCTTGATTATGCTTATAATAACAAATATCTTTTTTTCACAATTATACTCTCTAGAGAAAATAAATAAACTTTTAATTAAATCCTTATAAATTATAATACATGACATTATGTAATTCTTAATAGTTAATGAAGTAGTTTATATGTCAGTAAAATAAATTTACTTTTTATAAAATCAGATTATACTCTGACATTGCACTTTTTTAAATATATTCATCCGCCATATTTAATAGATTATTCGTGTTTTTTTTAAGTGCAAAATTGTTTTTATTATTTTTATGAATATTCTCAATAAATACCACAGTAACAACTATGTGAACAGAAAGAAAATTTTATTTCCTTACAATAAATATTATGTTATATAACTATATTATATAATCGAAATTAATGGATTAATTATTGCAAATAATTAAAGTTTTCCCATCTTTTATTGAAAAGCTAATATTCATCATATTCGTTTAAAATATGTTCAATATTTTTATGCTACATATATATATTTATGTAAAATTTATACAAATAAAAATATTTTGTATGCATAAAGTGTAAAAATAAATCAATTTCTTATAAATTGCACAATAAGTACGAATAATAAATTAGACATGTGTATATAATTTGAGAATAATTTATAATTCAGCACATAACAAATTTAATTTAAAAGTCAATAATTAAATAAAAATTTTTAGAACTTACTCGTATAAAATACCACTTTGTGTGGATTTAGAAAGAAAGGAAAAATTTGAATGAAATTTCACGCGTGGTACTGAAAATTGCGCGCCCCATGAATATGAGTTTAAGAACAAAGACAAAAAAATGTGAAAATAAACTTCTCGGGAATAGTCGAATCAGATTTTTTCGCTTTCTTTCTCATTCGCTAGACGGTATCGGCCAAGAGTCTCATCCATGTGAATGAAACGCTATCAGTGCTGGTGAAAAACCGCAGAATCGCGCGGCTCGGATGTCGGAACGCGGTGTCACGTGCATAAAAATTGGCGAACGCCACATCCTCTCCCGTACCGCATCAGAAGAATGTATATATGTAGAGTTGCTTTTATGCAAAAATTGCCTAGGCGCGCATGTAGACGAGTGACGAATTTTCGTTGACAGCCAATGCCCGAATATCCTGCAAATTTTGGCAAATTTTCAGAATTTTCAAACAGCAGCTACTAATATCTATGAGTGGACTGCTCCGCATTCTATGAGAGCTACTGACATCAGTGACATAAGCAATTTTCATAATATTGAACAAAAAACTCTAGTAATTATAAACTCATTATTTCGTTTGCAATCGACGCATCCTTCTTTCATTTATAATACGCATGGATAATTTAAATTTTTTTATTATAATATTTATTATATGATAATATTTATTTTATGAAATATTACAAAGAAAGCTCAGGTACCAAATAGATTTCATTTATAAAGTCAATTTTACAATAGCGATAATTGAATAAAGCAATTTTATCTCTACAGCTTTTTCCATAAGCTATTTAAACAAAAAAATATATAATATTTGGATTCGTCGAGAATGACGTATACCCATATAAATATTTTTCGAAAAGATTATATTTAAATCACGTTAAAAGTAATTTTAATAAAATGTTTAAATAAATTAATTAATTTTTATCTTTTAATTCGTCTATTTACAAAGGTAGAACTGACTGGTATGAAATTTTACCATGAAATATAAAACGCTTACTCTCTCATTTAACCATGTATATTATGCATCTTTATTTCGTTACCCGAAACGACGTAATAAAATTCGAAGAATCATATAAGCAAACTTGTGAATGATTATAAGATTGTCTTAGAACTCAATTTCTAGCTACAGAATAACTTAAAATAATAGTTTTTTTATAATCCAGTTAGAACATTTATTATGTGATGAAAAACATTTTAAAACATCAAATAATACATGAAAAATGAAGTGTACATACAAGGTTGATATAACTATTAATATTCGAAAATTATTATAAATAAGTGTAAAATTTCTTAAAATAAAACTTAAAAATAAATAAAAATTATCTAAATTTAGATTAAATACTGTATTTCATGGGAAATTTTATTAAATCAGATATGAAATAACCAATGGCCAATAATGTAATATTAACCTAATTATTGTATCTATCTATTCAAGTAGATTATCTAAATTGTATAAATAATAAGCGAAAAAATATTTATAATTTACATTAATTAAAAAAAAAGTTATTATTGTTAAGTAACGCAATATAAATTACATTGTTTCTTAAAATTACATTGTTTTAAAAATATTTCAAAAGTAATAATATTTGATAGTTCTAAAAAAGTTAACTTATAATTATTTAAATACTTTTTATCCATTAAAATCCAATTATGTATTGTATAGATCAAACTTTTTAAATAATCCGAATCGTGTATGTAATAAAAAAAAATTAATTTTTTCAAATTTAAAAATTTATAAACAGCTACGTTTAAGCGATATAAATGAAAATGTCAAAGTAAATACATTAATTTCAAATAAAATATGTCCTTTAGTTCGTGTTGTTATTTATAAGATACTCTTAATCCTTATAGTACTCGTAACCCTCAGTCAAAATACCGCTTATAAATTACAGTAGATTTCTTACTGATAAATTAGATTTAAAATTTATCTCGTAGATATATAACCATACTAATTTTCTTAAATTTTATTTATATAAATATGCAAATACTTTAATTATATTGTAGACTATATAATTTTAATTTAATTGAATTTTATTTTATTTTATTCATTTTAGAGATATTTACTATAATAAGAGATGTGAAAAACAATACTTCCAAATATTCACCGAATATCAAGATAAAAATATCGATAAACTTTTGAAAATACGTTTATTATACGAATTTTGTAGAACTGTCATTTTTTAATAATACCAAAATGATAAATAATATAAAATATCTGTTCTACTAAAAGCCTATACTACTTTAAGTCTGTCGTGCCTAAGATCAAAATCACTATTAAGAAGTTGAAAAATATAGGTAGATCATAGTCGATTAACCTTACCGCTCGACTTCAGAACTCTTATACGGCCGTAGCATTATTTTCCGCTGGCGAGTACAAATTGCATCATTAGATGCAAGATCGGCGGAACCATAAACGAAGGCTTTTAACGTAGTAAAGGTGCCTTATTACTCCTCGCTTCCCTAAGACTGGCTACGCATCCATCAGACTTAAACTGTAAATAGCATCGAACGTACCATTAGGCAAATCTGTCCCAGAGGCCTTGGCTCGGGTCCGCCGCAGGCAAGATATTTTCATTTGAGATGCGCGATAAGTGATCGCTGCCACTCGGCACTGCAATATTCGCTAACGAACAATGACGACATTACTTACATACTACTTGTTTTGCTCTCGCAACAGCATCGATTATCAAAACAGCGTTACCATACCAACCTTAAACAAGTATAATGTCTAATACCAAACAGGTGGAGGTGGCAAGGGAAAAAATTCGAACCGCCAATATATTTATACTGTACGAATAATCGATTATTTTCTCTTTAAATTGTCCAAATTTAACAGAAATAAATGGTCGATTGCAAATTTACTAAACAATGAAACTTCATTAAAATGATAATTACGGTTAACTCTCATGTCAACATATAACAACACGAGACCTCGGATCTTTATTTACAATAGCATGAGTTATTTTTATGGCAAATTTAGCTTCTATCCTTGATAAATCTCTAAACTCTGGATGCTACTAGCACTAGAGATTAAAACATTATCATTTATCTGTTTATTTAATTTATAATACCAAGAAAGTCAACAACATAAATTAAGATTTAAATGACATTACTCTTTTTCTCTCTCCTATATTGTTACA